TGGGACGGCTCTTGGGGCTTTCTTGGGACGCCTCGACGGCCTCGTGGGCCGTCTTGAAGTCATCTTAGGCCGCCTGGAGGCCAATGTGGCCCGTTTTGGAGCGACATTTCGCGCTCCTGGGCGATTCCTGTGAAAGGGGGTGGGTGGGGGGGGGGGCAGCCCTTAGAAGATGACAGGACTCCTGGTGCTTGGCATGCACGTCTCAACGTGCCAGGGGGCACTGTGACGGATATAATCGAAGGCTCCGCGGAGAATCATTGCCGCCCCTTGCCGTGTAGGATGCGCCTGGGTGGCCAAACGTTTGACCCGTCTGAATGCATCTGACGACATCTTGCGGTCATATTGGGCCGACATAGGTGAATTCGGGGGCTTCTGCTTTTTGGTTGGTCGTTTTGAAGCCATTTAGATATGTTTGAGGCCAGAATGGACCGTCGTGGAGCCCCTTTGCGGCCGTAAGAAAAGCGCCTCTGTGGTCACACGTTTGGGTCCAGATCTTGGACAAACTGTCGGACCAGATGTTTCCCGAGCCGCTGTGGAAACCTTTCGGGGAACACGTGGGTGAGAAAGAACATATTATCCCGGCAAAGCAACCTAACAGCGATGTGTAGGAGCATATTTGGAAGCATTTCCTTTACGATTCAGATGAGAATCCAGTTGTAGAATTCTGCTGCTCTCGCAGTCGTAGTCGCATTTGCGATGACAGTCGCAGTGGCAACGGCAGTCGCAGTCACAGCCTCAGCCTCAGCCTGCCTCAGCCTCCGCCTCAGCCTGCCTCAGCATCAGCCTGCCTCAGCCTCAGCCTGCCTCAGCCTCAGCCTCAGCGTGCTTCAGCCTCAGCATCAGTCTGCCTTCAGCCTCGGCCTCAGCCTCAGCCTGCCTCAGCCTCACCCTGCATCAGCCTCAGCCTCAGCCTCAGCCTGCCTCAGCATCAGCCTGCCTCAGCCTCAGCCTCAGCCTGCCTCTGCCTCAGCCTCAGCCTGCTTCAGCCTCAGCCTCCGTCTGCCGTGCCTCGGCCTCAGCCTCAGCCTGCCTCAGCCTCAGCCTGCATCAGCCTCAGCCTCAGCCTCAGCCTGCCTCAGCATCAGCCTGCTCAGCCTCAGCCTCAGCCTGCCTCAGCCTCAGCCTCAGCCTGCTTCAGCCTCAGCCTCAGTCTGCCTTCAGCCTCGGCCTCAGCCTCAGCCTGCCTCAGCCTCAGCCTGCATCAGCCTCAGCCTCAGCCTCAGCCTGCCTCAGCAGCCTCAGCCTGCCTCAGCCTCAGCCTCAGCCTGCCTCAGCCTCAGCCTCAGCCTGCTTCAGCCTCAGCCTCAGTCTGCCTTCAGCCTCGGCCTCAGCCTCAGCCTGCCTCAGCCTCAGCCTGCATCAGCCTCAGCCTCAGCCTCAGCCTCAGCCTGCCTCAGCCTCAGCCTGCCTCAGCCTCAGCCTCAGCCTGCTTCAGCCTCAGCCTCAGTCTGCCTTCAGCCTCGGCCTCAGCCTCAGCCTGCCTCAGCCTCAGCCTGCATCAGCCTCAGCCTCAGCCTCAGCCTGCCTCAGCATCAGCCTCAGCCTCAGCCTCAGCCTGCCTCTGCCTCAGCCTCAGCCTGCTTCAGCCTCAGCCTCAGCCTCAGCCTCAGCCTGCCTCAGCCTCAGCCTGCATCAGCCTCAGCCTCAGCCTCAGCCTCAGCCTGCCTCAGCCTCAGCCTCAGCCTCAGCCTCAGCCTCAGCCTCAGCCTCAGCCTGCTTCAGCCTCAGCCTCAGTCTGCCTTCAGCCTCGGCCTCAGCCTCAGCCTGCCTCAGCCAGCCCTCAGCCTCAGCCTCAGCCTCAGCCTCAGCCTCAGCCTGCCTCAGCCTCAGCCTCAGCCTGCTTCAGCCTCAGCCTCAGTCTGCCTTCAGCCTCGGCCTCAGCCTCAGCCTGCCTCAGCCTCAGCCTGCATCAGCCTCAGCCTCAGCCTCAGCCTGCTCAGCATCAGCCTGCCTCAGCAGCTCAGCCTGCCTCAGCCTCAGCCTCAGCCTCAGCCTCAGCCTGCTTCAGCCTCAGCCTCAGTCTGCCTTCAGCCTCGGCCTCAGCCTCAGCCTCAGCCTCAACATCAGCCTGCATGAGCCTCAGCCTCAGCCTCAGCCTGCCTCAGCCTCAGCCTGCTCAGCCTCAGCCTCAGCCTGCCTCAGCCTCAGCCTCAGCCTGCTTCAGCCTCAGCCTCAGTCTTCCTTCAGCCTCGGCCTCAGCCTCAGCCTGCCTCAGCTCAGCCTGCCTCAGCCTCAGCATCAGCCTGCCTCAGCATTCAAAATGTGGCCCGGGAATGGAGTTCTGGGAACTCGAAGAACACGAAGTGGCCTACAGTTGGCTCCGGGCATTTAAAATCATTCCCAGGAATGCAGTTCTGGGAACTCGAAGAGCACGCAGTGGCCTACAGTTGGCTCCGGGCATTCAAAATGTTGCCCGGGGAATGGAGTTCTGGGAACTCGAAGAGCACGAAGTAGCCTACAGTTGGCTCCGGGCATTCAAAATGTGGCCCGGGAATGGAGTTCTGGGAACTCAAAGAGCACGAAGTGGCCTACAGTTGGCTCCGGGCATTCAGAATGTGGCCCGGGAATGGAGTTCTGGGACCTCGAAAACCACGAAGTGTGTAACTGTTTGCTTAAAACGACTTCCGCGGATCCCTGTCCGGATGCCGCCCAGACCCCCCTGGGGAGTCATGATGCTCTCTTTTGACCCTATTAGAAAACTATCAGTCTTCGCTGTTAGGTAATAATAATACGAAAGAGATGCTTTTTAGGGCTTTCCTGGAGATCATCTCGGAGGGTTACGGCCTTCTGGGCCGTTTTGGGCATCGTGTGGCAATCTTGGGCCATGTTGGAGCCGTCATGGGACGTCGTCCATACGTCTTGGCCGTCTTGGGAATGCAATAGGTCTCTGCCAAAGCAAGCTCGCTTGATGTTGTTCTTTCGCTGAAGCTTGTTCCCTGAAGCTGCATATACATGGTTCGGGGAACTCTCGCGGGAGAGTGGTCGTAGCCTCGTTTGCGAGAGCCCTTGTTGACGTACATTTCTTATGCCTCCTTCCTTTGGGAAAGTCCAATGTGGCCGAACGTTTTAGTCAGATCTCGGCTAAGCTATCGGACCACGTGTTCCCCCAGTCGTTGTTGAAACCCTTCTGGGAATACGCGTGGGAGGAACTTGGGAATGAGGACAAAAGGAACACGTAGAAGGAGGGGGAGGATGAGGAGGGAGAAGGAGGAGGAGGAGAAGGAGGAGGAGGAGGAGAAGGAGGAGGAGGAGGAGGAGGAGAATCATGAGACCTCTTGGGGGCCTCTTGGGGCACCCTTCGGGCCTCCTGGGGGCTTCCTGGGAGCAGGGATCTCTTGGAGGCCTCTTGGGGCCTGCTTTGCGCTTCCTAGTGGCCTCCTGAAACTCGTGTGGGGCCTCTCGTGGAGCCTGCTGTCGGTCTTGGGGGCCATCTTGGGGCGACGGGCCCGACGTGTCGGTTCGTGCTCCCTCTCTGGGGCCTATCTTGGGCCCCCCTTGGAGCTCTACTGGGCCGTCTTGAGGGCCTCTCGCGCCGTCTTGGGGCCATCTTGGGCGCCTCGGTCATGTTTGGGCACTCTTAGAGCGTCGAAAAATGGCGGACACAGTTAAATCCTTCAGCTTACGGCATCCCAGGCCGGATAGCGGTCCGCTATCCAGGCTTGGGATGCCGTGCTGGACTGCTCCGAGCAGTCCAGGACGCGTGAGAGCCTGGGGGAGACGCTTGCAAGGACGCTTGAAAGGATGCCTGAGGAGCCTGCAAGCTCGAGGAGGGAGCCTCGCAGGAGCTCCCGAAACGCTTCGAAGGAACTGCGGATTGCGGCAAACGTACTTCACCACCTACCAAACCATCCCAACCCAACCTGAAGGCTTCAATTTGGCCTGCATTTCCAGTGGGGGGGGGGTCGGGGAGCGTTGAAAAAACACATGGAACCCGTACCCCCCCCAACCCGAAATTCGGGTCAAATTCGGGTCTTCGGGTTGGGTTGGGGTGGTCTGGTAGGTAGTCAGTATTGGGAACTTAGCAGGGGAAAGGCTACCGGAACACGCTGGGCCTTCACAGGAGGCGCTGCGGCGCCACTTGACCGGCGCTTAATAAAGAGCTTCCAGGCTGCCCTGCGCGGCCAGCTTCTAATCTGAAGCACTCTTATCGGGAGCCTTGAGACGGGGGTCAGTGCAAACGGGGGTCAGCCAGGGCGCTGGATCCTGCAGGATCCTGCGAAGACCCCCTCTGGCTGACCCGGGTTAGCGAGCCGCTCGTGGCCGCGAGGCGGCCGCGCGTATTGGCTGACCCGGTTTGCGAAGACCTGCGATGCAGTTTTTTTTTTCTCCTGCATTGCATGCAGTTTTTTGGTTTCCTGCTGACCCGGGTCTGGATTGACCCGGGTCAGAAGATTCCCGATCTTAGCTCTCAGAGAGCTGTCCGGGAAGAACTTTGGACTCTGGGGGCCCTCTGGGGGGGCCTGTTGAGTCAGGAGGAAAAAAACACACACAGACACAATTCATCGTCCATACCCCAGGAAAGAGGGGAAAATATGGGAAGTGGGGGGGAAGACAAACAGCCCAGAAAATATAGGAAAATATGGGGAATCCTGTTATTTGTGCCTATTTATTTGTGTGTCCCAGGGCCTCTTCATTGAAGCCCTCTTGGGGCGTCTTGGGTCGGGCCATCGTGCAGGCCTCATGCGCCCTCTTGGGCGTTTCTTGGGGTCCTCTTGGCATGTCCTGGGGCCCTCTGGTTTCTGAAAAAGCCAGTCGGGGAAGCCCGAGAAAACGCGAGAGTGTCAGGAAGATTTGGGCGTTGGGGCTCCCTATCATGAATTAGAAGATCTCAATATCGAAATGAAGAGTACAGACAACTTTGGAACCCTGGGAACATTCCACTTCGTGCCTTGCGGTACGTTGGCGGATTAGGGAGATGATGCGAATGATACGAATGCGAATGCTGGAAAAATGGGAGGAGGAGGAAGAGGAGGAGGAGGAGGAGGAGGAGGAGACGCCAGGTATTTCTGACGGAGCTCATCATTCGCTTCAGCTGTTCGCCGAGCAAGGTCAGCTTCCTCTGTATTTCCCATACGTGGATTGATATCGCTGCCGCGAGTTCGATCGTGCTGCGGGCTGCCATTGGGTTCGTGCTCCCAGAGAATCAGGACGACATGATCTCGATCATATTTCTGTGCCTTGTGCCGATCATCCGATTGTTGAAGATCCTGCGGCACTTCGAGACCTTCAACGTGCTCATCCAGGCGGTCTACATCACGATGGAGGCTCTTCCAATGCTCTTGTATGCTATCGCCCTGATCACGATGACCTTCGCCCTCCTCATCTCGGCGGTGAGCGAGGGGGGGAAGTGAGAAGGAGAAGGCCTTCTCGGAAGGCGGCGGAATTTCTCAGAAGTTCTGGCGCTTCTGAGACATTTTCTGTGTTTTTTCGGGGAAAGCTGAGAAAACTCCTCAGAAGGCCGGGGGACATCCGAGGAGGAGGAGGAGGAGGAGGAGGAGGAGGGGGAGGAGGAGGAGAAGGCCCGCCCCTTCTCACTTCCCCCCCCCGGCTCGCCTCCGATCATCTACTGCGCGGAGCCGGAGCTCTTCGAGTCGCCCTTCCGGGCGGTCTGGTTCTGCCTCGTGACGGTCACCACGGTCGGCTACGGGGACTACACTCCTGTGACCACACCTGGTATCACGATCGTCATTGTCCTTATCGTGCTCGGGGTTGGGCTGATGGCCGTCCCCATCGGCATCATCGGAAACACGTTCAACCAGGTGTGGAACGCGCGGGACTACTCGCTGCTGCTGGCGAAGACGCGGATGAAGCTGCGCAAGTGGGGCTACACGGCTCACGACATTCCGACGCTGTTCGAGCTCTGGGATTTCAACGGCAACGGGGTGCTTGAGCCCGATGAGTTCTGCGAGCTGGTGAACGAGATGAAGATCGGGCTCCCCGAGGATAGGATCCGCGCTCTATTCGAGCACATGGACTTCTTGGGCGGGAGACATATCCATATCCACCGTCTCGCGGTTCAAACTCCTCGGCCGCGACCCCCTGGATACAGGGCTGATTTGCGCGGATGCCCCGCACTCAACGCATCCATGGGATCGCGCCTCAGTGACCAGATCGCGAAGGCATGGATATGAACATGTTCGTCGCCCGTAAGGACAAAGACGGAAGCGGTGGACTGGACGCAGCCGAGTTTGCGATGGAAGTCTTCCCAGAAACGTTTCTCCAGGCTTTCGTCGGACACGTGCCCAACATCAATCCAGAGCCTCCCTCGAGCAGGATAACGACCGTGAGCAACATTCCTCCGATAAGACCAACGAATATGAGTACCATGGAGACGTGAGCAGACGATCGGCGCAGCCAGCGACGATTGACACTGCAGCGCGTCGACAAATTCCATAGACGCTGGCTTGCTGGAGGTGAACTCGTGGCGGGAGCTGACACGCCTCCTCGTCCCCTTTGCCCCCCCTCCTTGGCCAGCAGTACACGTTGGCGGTAGTGGCGCTAGCAGACGTGCTGGAGGGCATCCGATGGACAACGCACGCGTTGGCGCTAGCACACGTTTTGAGGTTCGAGCTGTTCCCCAAACAGTGCTTGCACTTGGGGATTCTTATTTGCGTTTGTTGACGAACCAACAACACACACCCGTACCCATAGGGGGGTCGGAGAGGGCTGTGGGTGCGTGTTGTCGGATGGGGGTCCCCGCTCGAACGGGAGCGTTCAGGGTCCGACACCCCGCACCCATACCCATGGCCAGTCCTCCTCTCAACGACCCCCCTATGGGTATGGGTGTGTGTTGCTCGTTCGCCATTTGTTGAGTGACAGAATGCCCCACTGGGATGTTCCACCGAGGATGAGGAGGAGGAGGAGGAGGAGGAGGAGGAGGAGGGGGAGGAGGAGGAGGAGGAGGAGGAGGTGCTCGCCCCCCCCGTGCCGCCCCGTGGGCGCTCGTGGGCGCCCCCGTGCCGCCTGGGAGGACAGCTGCTGTTGCCCTCTCCCTCTCTCTGGGCTCCGGCGCTGCGCCCCCCCACAGGGCTCGTTTCGATTCCTCCGATTCGATTCGATTCGATGTCGATGGATTCCGATTCGGATCCGATTCGACTTCGGATTCCGACCCGGGATCCGATCTCTCAATGGAGGCCTACTGCTCTGCCGATTTCCGCCGATTCGACTTTTTCCGACTCGGCTGCCGATTTCCGCCGACCCGATTCATTTCGATCACCGATCCGACTTGTCGATTCGATTCTGGGCTCTCCTGCCCCCAGAATCACCACCCACCAAACCACCCCAACCCAACCCGAAGGCCTCAATTTGCCCTCCATTTCCAGTTTGGGGGGGTCGGGGAACATTGAAAAAACACATGTGGAACCCGTACCCCCCCCAACCCGAAATTGGGGTCTTCGGGTTGGGTTGGGGTGGTCTGGTAGGTAGTCACAGAAGGGGAGGCACGGCAGGCTCGCGCCGCAGTCTCGGTGGGCTGGCATCTCCGCGCTCGTTCTGCGCGCTCGTCTGGGGCCTGGCGTGCGCCCGGACCGAGAATCTGGGCATCCGTGGAGGGCCCGAATCGGGGGCCACTTTCGGCGGAGACAGGCGCAGAGGGGAGCGCACCGACTCCTGCTCGCCCACGCATCGCCGACGGGGGCCTGTGGGCCCAAGAGAGGCCCGAGAAGGCAGCATCGTTGAATTTGCAGTGGGTTCTGTCGACGTGTTTCGCCTTCTCGCGTCTTCTCGCTTCCAACGCTCCAGGACCGAGGAACTTGAGCAAAAAAGGGAATTCCAGATATTCCTTTTTTTTCAAGTTGGGACTCCTAGGTACTCCCTATTCTCTTCCTCGAGCCTCATCAAGACTTCGGGGTCACATGCAAAAATGTTTCGGGAATGCTGTTGAACTCTTTGACGCTGTCTTGGCACTCTCTTGGATCGTCTTCGTGTCCTCTTGGCTGCCCCTGAAACCACTGTAGACATCGAGATCCCATGATCCCATGAGTTGAAACAGTGGAATTTTAGAAATCCTTTTTTTCAATGTCACCCCCTGCTTATTTGTGCACGACGACCCCGAGAGACATCCCAACAGATCGTGGCCTGCATCCAGAAAACGTCTACCCCACAGCCCAGGCACTACAATTTGAAACAAGGGGGAATCGAACAATTCCGTTTTTTCTCCCAAGTTCGCCCCCTTGTCTATTCTTGCACAACAGACCACAATTAAGGCCCCAGAACAGAACCCAGGAAGCCTTCGAGGGCCCCAAATCGTTGAATACTTAACGGCTATTGATGATTTTTGCGTTTCCGCAGTTCCTCGTCTATGCGATTCCGAGGCTTGACCAGGGCCTCCAAGAGAGTCCCTGAATGCAAGAAACGACAGAGATGATATTCTATGTGTTAGCCCATCAAGCCTAGCTAGACCTTGAGCGCGCGCGAAGCGCGCGCGATTCTAGTGTGTATGTATGTGTGTGTGTGTATATATATATATATATATATATATTTATTCCTCTTCTTATATTTTTATAAGCCCGGGCGGGGGGAAAACCCATCCCCCCCCCCCCCAAAACCGGACTCCCGGGATCTGGGGCTTTGGGACCCTCTGGACGGGCCTCGAAGCGGCCCCCCGGGCCTCGCAGGGCGTTTTGCCACGCCTTCCCAGCACACCTAGGGCGATCAGGGGGGTCATCGGAGACGTCCCAGAGACCCCCAAGACAGCACAAGAGCGCTCCAAGAGTGACCGACGTGACCTCAAGATGGCCCAAAGGCCTCCAGGACGGCCCCAAAGAGGCCTCCAAGAGCACTCCCAAGAAGGCCCCAAGAGGCACAAATCTTTGATTTTCTGTTGTTTTTTGCTGAATTTTGGGGTTCTCCTCTTTTCGGCTTCCCGACGCTCCAAGAAGGCGGTCTTCTGGGCGTCCGAAGCCGCCTGGGAGGCTCCAACATCGCCCCACAACCACCCGAAAGAGCTTCCAGGCAGTCCAAGAGAGCTCCAAAACGACACAACACGGGTCCAATATGGCCCTCAGAGATCCCCATGGCGGCCCAAGATGGCCCCAAGACACCCTCCGAAGCATTCCAAATCGTGACCCGGTCGTTCAGGGAGACCGCGGTTGGAAGCAGGGTGGCCCGAGGAAGTCCCCAGAGGCCCCCAGAATACGCCCAGGAGGCCTCCAGAAGGCCTTAAGAAAGCTTGAAACAACTTCTGTGAGGCCCTCAGAGGCTCTCCAAGGAGGAGCCTCCGCAAAAAAGAGCTGAGGAGGATGGGGAGAATGCGCAGGGTATGGCGAAAATAAACAAAGATAAGCATGGAGGAAGGATAACGAATAACATTATTATAGTGGCGATGTCGGAAATGGCAACAAGGAGTTATCTCTAAGTTGTCGGCTTGACCTTCCTGCTATTCCGCCTGCGTGCCAAACTTCAAGGACCAAGGTGCATGGCGCGAAGCGCCACTGCAGTCTTGTATATATATATATATATGTGTGTGTGTGTGTGTCCATTTCTCGGCGGCGAGCAGAGGGGGAAGTGAGAAGGGGCGAGCCTTCTCAGAGGGCTCGGAAGTCCCCCCCAGCCTTCTGAGGAGTTGTCGAAGCCTGCCCCGAAGGCGCAGAGCACTTCTCGAAAGGCGTGAGGGCCTCAGAGAAGCCCGCCGCCTTCAGAGAAGGCCCTCTCCTTCTCATTTCCCCCGCGCGCTCGCCGCCGAATATCCACCGCCCACTCGGGCACCGAGAGGTCGGCTCCCAGCCGGAGGACATGGACAACTCCCCGCCTCGCAGCCCCAGCCCCAGCGTGGGCGCTGCTTGGCTGTTTTTTATATTTTTTTTTGCCCGCCTCCCCTGGGCTGCTGGCCGGGGTGGATGGGTGCGAGGGCGTCGGTGGCTGGCGAAAAAGCCTGCCAGCATCGACTACACGCAAGAGTGGCCTTTCGCCAGGAGGACTTCTGGTAGGGCCCCATGGGGTTCCCCGACGGTCGCAGACAGCGAAGCGGCAGCGGCGGCTTGCGCGCCCGGGCTGGGTCACCCCGCGTCCCCCGTCGAGCCGCGCAGCAAAGGTCATTCTTGCCCAGGGTCGCTCCCACGAGCTGCCGAGGGCAGCTCGACGCTCGAAGCTTTGGCTCAGCCCCTGCTCGGCCCTCCCTTTCGAAAAGGGCCGCGGCGAGCGGAGGAACTCTGCCTGTCTTCCGGGCCTCTCGGATAGGGTCCGAGTGGATGGGGTCGGCACTCTCCGCCTTGCCGATGCATCGGCGATGTGGCTCGATGTGCATCCTGATTTTCTCCACGCCGACGTCGCCGATGCGTCGGCGATGCGTCGGCGATGCATCGGCGACCCTCCGACTCCATCTACTCGGACCCCATTCGGAAGGCCTCCAGTTTTCCTCCCTCTTCAACCGCTGCGGGTGACGGCACTGGGGGAACACAACACCCCCGTGCCGTGCACCCTGCTCCGACCGATCTTTGGGAGCAGGGCCAATCCAGCCTCACCACCCTGCCACCTGTGCCCCGCAGCTCGAAGCGAGGAGGAGAAGGAGGAGGAGGAGGAGGAGCAGTAGGAGGGTCTTGGGGCACGCTCTTTCTCGCGGCGCGAAGTGCGGAAGTGGCCGTGCTGCCACGCCCGCCGGCCTGGGGGGCGGGGGGGATAGGCTCAGGGGGTGGCGCATCGACCCCCGAGCACCCGAGCTTCCAGACAACAGACAACCGCAATCATCACACAAACACGTTACATCAGTCTACCAAGTACCTTCTTAGCTACTACTGCGTCTACATCTATCGTTACAACAACGACTACTACTACCACCACTACTACTACTACCACCACCACCACTACCACCATTACTACTACTACTACTACTACTACTACTACTACTACTACTACTACTACTACTACTGCTACTACTACTACTACTACTACTACTACTACTACTACTACTACTACTACAACTACAACTACAACTACAACTACAACTACAACTACAACTACAACTACAACTACAACTACTACTAATACTGCCTATACTACTAGTAGTAGTACTTCTGCTACTATGACTACTATTACTTTGAATATTATGCCGACTTCGACTACGACTGCGACGACTACTACCCCTACTACTGCTACTAGTAGTACTACTATTATGATTACTATGACTACGACTACGACTACGACCTACTATCGCTACTACTACTATTAATACTGCTAGTACTTGTAGTAGTACTGTTACGAGTACTATTATTACTACGACTACGACTACGACTACGACTACGACTACGACTACGACTACGACTACGACTACGACTACTATTGCTACTGATACTGCTAGTAGTAGTAGTAGTAGTAGTAGTAGTAGTAGTAGTAGTAGTGGTAGTAGTAGTACTACTACTATTACTACTAGGACTGAGAAACTACTACTACTACTACTACTACTACTACTACTACTACTGATACTGCTAGTACCAGCAGTAGTGCTACTATTTTTTCTTACGCCGACTATCGCTACGACTACGACTACGACTACGACTACGACCACTATTACTACTAGTACTGGTAGTGGTAATAGTAGTAGTAGTAGTAGTAGTAGTAGTACTACTACTACTACTCT